TTCAATCCTTCCTTTTGTATAACATTAATTATGCTACCATAAGTAAGAGTATGATAAGGTATGACACCTTCTTCGTTAACTAAAACATTTCGGATTTTGTGAGCAAAAAGATTTGGTAAACCATTGATAAATTTTTCTTTCCAAAAAGGTTGATTACTATCTTCCCTAAGCATAACTCTGGATATAAAAACATCTTTATACCATCTGAAATCACTTAAGGTTGGACACCTTAAATTACTCAGTTGGTCGTGAATACGAGTAGTGACGTTGCTGGGTGTTCCTATAAAGTGTTCTATAATCGTATAAAGTAAAGTATTTACTCCGTCGGGTATTCCCTGTCCTATCGTTTCATCAAAGATGGGAAGTCCTTCCTCATCTTTTTTTACCGCAAAACGTATTTCATCTCTGGACTGAGAAGTTAAGTGCTTCTCCCACCAAGAATGAAGACTTCCATATATATATATATATATATATATTTCTCGGATTTTCAATTGCGAAGTGTAAAGCTTATCTACCTTTAAGGTGCTTGAAGAAATGCCCAACTGAAATCAAATTTGATTGGTGATTCAACTGATTTTGGGATGTTACTCATTACCTCTATTGGTTCAATAATTATTTTTTTGAAAAATAATTACTTAGTTTTCTGTGTGATTTTGGTTCTCACATTTAAGAATTCCAATTTTAATGGCGTTACTGAACAACTTGTTGCCTTGCTGGTTTGGTATCTTTTGCAACCAAAGAAGTTAAATTCTTTGTTTGTAGTCGCAACATTTTCTTGGGGTTACTTTTCTATCAGAGAGTCAAAACTCATTCTTTTGAAAGTCAGATTTGTTCTTTCTTTGCATGTTGAGATGAAATGAACAATTGGAAAACAAAGTAGTTATATACTCACTTCCCTGAATTCACTCCCATGATCTTACTGTTTGCATGAACTTATAAGAAATTGGGCTATTCCCCATATACCCAATTAGTTTTATAGTGGAATCTCAACTTCTTCACAAGTTCTGCAGCTGGAAACGCAAAATATGATATCAAGTTTCCATAGCCACATGTTCTTGGTTTTTTATTGCTACACAAAAATCATGAAGTATTGCTGCTTGTTTTGTGGACACGAGAAATATTAGATGTTAATAGGTTATGTGGGCAATGCATTAGCTATAAAGCATTTTGGATTTTTTTTTTTTTTTTTTTTGGCTGCAGTATTTTGGAGATTATGATGTTGTTTAAGAATCACTATTTAGTCAGTTGAATTTTTGCAAATGTAACAAAGCTTAATTTTTCATAAGAAAGAAATATCATAATGGGGAAAACTGTTACCCAATGGAAAATCAATTACCCAACTAGTTCAGCTGTGGGGAATTATCATTCTGAGGATTTTAAGATTTCGGGTTTGGAGAAAACAAATGAGTTCGGTTATGGGTATGACACATCCAAACTAATCTGCCCCATTGCCATCGACCGTACCTATAATTATGGTTTAGTATTACGAGTTAAGCTTGGAATTGAGGTAGGGATCATTTCACTTGCCACATTGGCTTTACATATAAATACTACCAAAAAAAAAAAAAAAGGAGGGGGGAAATGCCTGAGAGCAGTTCCACCGTGGTGTATTACCCGATGGACTGAGGATGGAACAAGGCCAAATAGGCCGGGGGTTAAGGTCCAACGTATGCAGCAAGAGGGATAGGCTAGGCCCAAGCGATAGGCCTGGCAGGGATTGCTAGCCCAATAGCCCGAAGGCGACCTAATGCAAGCGTCAGGCGCGTACACTTCAAACGCGTGTGGGCGCGCATCTTCCGACACAAAATCAAGGATGGGGTCCGCGGCGTTTTTTCTACGATGTTACCGTTGGGAGGCCACGTGGCTTCCCCATGTCCGTTGGATTTCAACGGCAATATTTTATGGACCGTTGGATTTCCAACGGAAAATAAAATTTAAAAGCCTCATTTAATTTTAGTCATTGGATTTGAGATCAACGGTCCACGTTATTAGGCATTGTTAAAAATAAAAATAAAAACAGTTTAAAATTCTAAAATGTTACCGTTGTGCCACGTGACACAATCTAGAGTGTTGGAATTCAATTTTTTTTTAAATCCAACAGCAGAGATTAATTAGGTGAATAAAAATTTTTAAAAACTTTTAAAAATTAATAAGAATCCGAAAAAAAAAATGATTTTACTTTTCTATAAATGTCTTCTCATTATCATCTACCTTACATTTCATATTTTCTCATCTACTTTCAACCACATTGCTATTTTTCTCTCAAAGTTTCAATTCGATTTTTTTCCAACAACATGACATAAACACACCAAATAAAAACAAACACACTAAATGAACTTAAGTATCTTGAGCTTGTTTCAATTCCCACTGGTGCTCTATCAAGTTAATTTGCCGGGCATTGTGCATATATGGCATTTGAAGTGCAGTATATCATTGAATGAGCCTTTCATTGTAATGTCTATCCCTTTCTAATGGCTCGTGTTGCACGGGTTCTTCGGTGGTGTCATGAGCACAATATATTTATGTTCTGGAATTGTTCATCGTGTCTGGCTCATATTCATCAATGTCATCATAATCGTACTCGTCTTCCACAATCATGTTGTGAAGAATGATGCACGTCATCATGATGGATCGAAGCGACTCTACATCAAACATTCTGGCAGTACCCCTGAAAATTGTTCATCGAGCTTGGAGGATACCTAAACAACGCTCCACATCCTTCCTATACCCCTCTTGACAGCTTGCAAAGTGTTTTTCCTTTACACTTCACGAACGTGGCACTGTTTTGACAAACGATGACCACCTTGGGTAAATGCCGTCTGCTAGGTAGTATGGCCCGTCATACTTATGTTCGTTGACCCAGTACGTGACATTTGGTGCCTTTCCTTGCAAGACATCGTTGAACATTGGGGATGGGGCAAGGACATTAAGGTCATTTTGAGCTCCCGGAACCCCGAAAAAATGTGTGCCAAATCCATGTATCAAAAGATGTGACTGCCTCCAAAATGATATTTTTTGCTCATTTTCTATCCCCATAAGCACATTGCCATGCACTTGGACAGTTTTTCCAATCCAGTGCATACAGTTGATGCTTCCAATCATCCCAGGAAAACCTCGCATGTCGCCCTTCTTCAGAAGCCTTTGCAAGTCTATGTCAGTAGGTTTCCGGAGGTACTCTACGATGTAGATAGATTCGATTGCTCGGCAAAACCTCATTAGGGACTCAAGAATGGTTGATTTCCCCATCCTCGCTATCTCATCCACTTGGTCTGCAGATGCTCCATATGCAAGCATCCGTAAGGCAGCAGTAATTTTTTGCTCAGGAAGGAGACCCATAGTACCAAAAACATCCTTCTTTTGCACAAAGTAAGAATCATGGTTGCAAACAGCAATCATGATTTTGTTGAACAAATGTCATTCCATTCTAAAACGACATCTAAAGTACGCATCAGGGAATACACTATTACGGACAAAATAATCGTCCAAGAGTTCCATACCTCATCGTTGCCTGCTTCTATCAAGGTTTCCAGAACGGCTGGGCCTACAGATCTGACCCACAGCTTCGATGACTCGATAGGAATGTGAGGTTCTGCCCATTCTTGCTTCGTCATCTTTCCTTTTACGCTCATCTTTTAGGCCACCTGGAGATTGAACATTCCTTCTGATTGGTTAAACAATTCTTCCTCTTGCTGATCGATTTCCCACATCATACTTGAAGAAGAAGACATTGTAAGAAGGAAGTAGAAACTATGAATAATGATAGAGATCTTCAGAAAATTGGTGTGAGATTTCTGAGGATGGATGGTGTATTATATGGAGGATTCAGAAAGGATTAGGTTGTAGATAATGTTACGTGGCATGCCGTCATTCTTTAAAAATCTGATCGAAATCTGTCCTTAAAGATTGTAAACAGATTGTGACATGTGGCGCGACGTGATTGGTTAAAAATCTTATCAAAAATCTATCCTCAACGATTCTGAAAAGATACCAACACGTGGCACAACGACATTGGATAAAAATCTTATTGAAATCCATCACCAATCATTGTCTTTTCGGATAATGACACGTGGCGCAACGAGAACGATTAAAAATCTTATCCGAAATTACAAATTAAATTATTTTGTATTATTTTATAAATAAATAAAATACTATTATTTTATTGCCTATTGCCAGGGCTATTCAAGTGTAAGGGTGGAGATGCAAAAGACAATTACTGTTCATTAAGGGCAATTACTGTTCATTAAGGGCAGTTACTGTTCACTGGATGGATTAAATAATGAATAGCCTGGGGGAACCTTTCCCATGCTGGAACTGCTCTGAGGGGGAGCAATGTCGTACACGCTCAGCCTATCACTGCATATTTTTCTATGCAGGTTATCCGAGGAGATGGTGCAAGAGATAACATGGTAATAGAGAGTAAATTATATTTGTATTTTGAGTAACTATGGTTTTGTAGTTGACTCACATGTTAAATAAAATCGAATTTTGGTGTTTAAAAATAAATTATATTTCGGCCTTCCATAGTATTTCTCCTTCCCACAATGTTTTAAAAGAAATTATATTTTAACTCTGTTTCAATTTACTTACGCTTGAATATTGGTATTTTTTACCGATCCTCGAGTTTTGGACGTGACATTGCATCTGGTTTCAGCCACACAACGTCTCGCTCTTTATGGGCTGAATACACTTGGTATGCACAAAGACTAATTTTGGCCCATTATATTTGACTCTCTATATGTAGAGACCCACATTGGGCTTGTTTTTCTAGATGTGAGAGGAGGGAAGAGAGGGGAGAAAAAAAAGGAAAGGGAGAGAATTCTCATTCGTATATAATAGAGTAGTACTACACCTATATTTATTATTTACTTGTCCTATCATTTGTATTATTCTTTTAAGAAAAGCAAAATCTGTCAGCTCATGTAAGGACAAATAATGATACAACTTATCGGTAAAAATATCATTTTTGCATATAATGCGAATAACAAACCACAAGCGACCTCTAGGTGGCTATACTCTATACTCCATAGGGCACGGATCATGCAGTTGTAGGAGGTGACTAGGCAGAAAAATCGAAAAGTAAGAATCCATGATATTATTCCCAAAGTAACCCTGAAACTGTCCCACATCACAATTTGAGTGCGGAGGCATTTTGCTCAGTTCGATGGAGATTGTTACACGAACCGAAAGATACGAGGGAGAACCGGTGGGAAGAGAGTGATGTATCATATAGTATGGTGATTGGCCACGCATCTGACGGAGTGATGTATCATATAGTATGGTTATCCCAACAGGTGATGATAATGACAAATGAATAGTTCAACATGTATTAATGTAATTATTCACATGTGCATCCCTCAATCAAAAGATTTTTTTATTGAGATTTTTCAATAGATGTGTTATCCACCTATTCCATTTTATTTCTTACATATTCTTTGATAATTTCATTCCGTTGATCTTCTTTAATTCATCTGATCCGAAAGTCGAAATTTAAAAAAATATGTGAAAAGCAAAATAAGATGTGTGTATATCACACCTCTTTTTCAAGGGGTCAAGGACCAACACGACTTTGCAAAGGGTCAAGAACCTACACAACACAACACAATTACTTAGGTGCCTTTGGTTTTTAGGAAACTCGCTTTAGGAGATCATTTACTTCCTCATGGTATAAAACATTAATTACTTATTTTGTGACCAAGCTATAATCATTGACAATTGAAAATGTCCATATAACCCCAAAAGCTGATATATTTCCATTTTACTTTCTCCTCATTACCATTTACCACACATGGAAATTATTTCACATCAATTCATTTCCGTACATCTATTCATTTTCATGTACTAAATGTAGCCTAATTAGTAAAAAAGAAAAAAAGATTTTAACACACTATTTTTCTTCGCTTTCACGTATGATGCAAATTTTTTACCCTTAAATCCAATAAACTAAAGAAGATGTTGGAAATAGAGAAAAAGAATGTGTAGAACTCTTTTCGCTCATCCCAAAATAATTGAACAAGGAAAAAAAAATAAGACTCTGTCACAATTCACAAGATAATTATAAAGGGGTTTTTTAGCTAAAATGGTCTCTAAAGTTTGCATAACACACCACTTTGGTCCCTGAGATTCATCCCAAAATAATTGAACAAGGAAAAAAAAATAAGACTCTGTCACAATTCACAGGATAATTATAAAGGGGTTTTTTAGCTAAAATGGTCTCTAAAGTTTGCATAACACACCACTTTGGTCCCTGAGATTGAAAATCAATAGAAATGGTCACTGAAATTGTCCACTATCCATTATTGTGGTCATTCTGTTAAGTGTCCTAAAGCTCTTGGCCGGAAGTTTAAGCAATTTTCAAAACTTTGTAACTCAATCATTTCTTAATCAAATTCTACCCATAATATATCAAAATAAAGATAGGAAAGTGTAGAAAAAGATTATACCTATTTGGAAGCCCAATGGCTACCCGAGATGGCTGGAAAATAGCCTGAAAGGTGACTGGTCCGCTGGAAAACTGAAAAACTCGCTGGAAATTGGGTAAATTTTAAACGTTCATAACTTCTTCAATACTGAACGAAATTAAGTGATTCAAAAATAAAAACCATACTTCTCGACGAGGCAAAAAGAATGGTACCTTTCTTGATGGCTAACTCGTCCTATTTTGGTCGTAAAACAACTCGAAAGTGGTTGTCTTGGTCTTGAGTTAGCTACTTTTGAGCCATTTTCCGGCCAAACCACGACTAGTTAGTCATCAAGAAAGGTACCATTCTCTTTGTCTCATCGAGAAGTATGATTTTGTTTTTGAATCACTCGATTTCGTTGAGTATTGAAGAAGTTATGAACGTTTAAAATTTACCCAGTTTCCAACAAGTTTTCCAGTTTCCAGCGGACTAGTCACCTTTCAGGCTATTTCTCAGCCATCTCTGGCAACCATTGGGCTTCCAAATAAGTATAATCTTATTCTACACTTTCCTATCTTCAATTTGAAATATTATGGATCGAATTTAGTTAAAAAACGATTGAATTATGAAGCTTTGAAAATTACCCAAACTTCTGGCCAAGAGCTCCGAGACACTTAACGGAGTTTTTAACGGAAGGACCAAATGGATGGTAGACAATCTCAGGGACCATTTCTATTGATTTTCAATCTCAGGAACCAAAAGATGTGTTATGCAAATCTCAAGAACTATTTTGGCTAAAAAACCTTGTACAAATAGGAAAATGTTGAAAAGTCTCAAACTTCTGTTGGCAATGAATGCCCACAAAGCTAGTCATCTGCATGGGCAAAGTTTTCAATGCCCATGCTGAATGAAAGTGTCAGAGGTACATTTTAATTTTCAAGATGCATTAACTGCATCAGTTCGAATTACTCTATAAATAGAGCACTCCGCATGTAACAGAAATGAGATGAAGAAGAAATACAAGAGAGAAATATCAATAACATCATATATTCCTCTGCCTTTTATTATCTGTCTGTGCTATAGTTTTTGTGTGGCATTTTACATCTACCTTGCACCTACCACTTAAAAGGTTATCTCTCAAACTTTAACCCTTTTATAACACGTTATCAGCACGAGTCTCTAAATATATTTATTCTCTCATCTCTCTTCGCCGAACGAACGAAAGAAAGAAAAAAAAAATGTTTCCTTTAAGGTTTTTACTGTTCATCTTCTTCCTCTGCCTCAACTGCGCCGTGTACCCTCGCGACGAGTTGTTTGCTCCATGCCTGCTCATAGTTCTCCAACTAACGGTTACATACATCTTTGATTACTTGTTTGGTGTAGAGATTGATTACTAACCTAGTATTTATTTGTGTTAATTCTACTGCAATCCAAGATGGTGCGGTACAATCGCCCATCTTGAACTGCAAATTTAATCTTACTGCGATCCAAGACGGTGCGGTATCATCGCCTATCTTGGACTGCAGATTTAATTTTACTGCAAGTTTTAGGTGGAGCGGTATAATCGCACACCCTACCCTGCATATTCGAATTTATCTGCTGTTTAATTTCATTGCAATTTTATGTGGTGCGGTATAATCGCCTACGCTGCTCTGCATATTTAATTTTCCTGTTACTTGAGTGGTGCGGAATAATCGCCCATTCTATATTACATTATTTCAATGAGAATGGTGCGGTACGATCGCCCTCCTCATTCACCCTGAAAATCTCGAGCCAGAAGTTTCGAGTGCTTATCATTTTGGCCTGAAGATCAAAATGAAAAATTTGTAAGAACCAGAAGTTCTAACATCATATTCCTCCAGGAATACATATTATTGCAAGTTCTTACACATCTCATTTTCTTTCAGAAAAGAAAATGGCGAACTTGGCGAAGCTTGAATTTGCTGCCCTGGATATTACCGGGAAGAATTATCTGACCTGGGTACTGGATACCAAGATCCATCTGGAAGCAGGGAATCTTGGAGATACCATCAGGGAAGAGAGCAACTCATCCTCTCAAGATCGGGCAAAGGCCATGATTTTCATTCGCCGCCATCTTGATGAGGCGCTAAAGAGCGAGTACTTAACGGTTGAAGATCCGTTAGCTCTCTGGAATGCCTTGAGAAGCAGATACAATCACCAGACAACGGTGATTCTTCCAAGGGCCCGTTATGAGTGGACTCATCTAAGGATTCAAGACTTCAAGTCAGTGGCAGAATACAATTCTGCATTGTTCAGAATTACCTCTCAGATGAAGCTCTGTGGGGATATTATTACTGAGGAGCATATGCTGGAAAAGACTCTCAGCACATTTCATGCCTCCAACGTGCTCCTGCAGCAGCAGTATAGAGCGCGAGGCTACACTGAGTACAACCAGCTGATATCTGTGCTCTTAGTAGCTGAACAGAATGATGAGCTCCTGATGAAAAACCATCATTCCCGACCTACTGGATCTGCACCATTCCCAGAAGTGAATGCTGCTTCCCTCGGAGTGAACACCACATCCTCTGGTGGTGATAATCATAAACGAGGACGTGGTCACAAGCGAGGTCGATGGAATAGGAAAGGCAAGAACCATGGAGTTCAGTTTCATAACCAGGTTCCCAGGAATAATTCAGGCCTGAGCTTCAAAAATGTGAATCGCCACAAAGGCAAAGCTCATATGAACAATGCTCCTAGAAACTCTGAAGGAGCCTGCCATAGGTGTGGTGGCAATGGGCATTGGGCGCGTACTTGTCGTACCCCAAAACATCTAGTGGATCTGTATCAAGCCTCCCTCAAGGAGAAGGGTGTCGAGACTAACTTTCTCGACGAGGCTAGACCAATGGATATACCTGATCCAGTGTTTGACTTATCAGGGCAGTTGAACACAACTCATCTAGATGTTTCAGACTATATTGTAGAAAGGGGAAATGAAGTATATCGGTCCGATTGAATCATTAATGTACTTTTATTATGAACTTGTAGTATTCTCAGATTCAATAAAAGTGGCATGTAAATTTTCTTGTTATAACTTGCTTTTAATTCTGATTCTCTTACTCAGAGAGCATGGATAAAAACTGTGGTTATTCCCAGAACATGAGAAATGGTGGAGATATTTGTCTTGCAGACAGTGCAACCACACATACAATACTTCGTGATCGAAAGTATTTCTCAAGCTTAATACCTACAAGAGTAGGGGTAACAACAATATCAGGACCTTCAGATGTAATTCAAGGTTCAGGGCAAGCCCAGATTATGTTACCAAATGGAACAATATTGTCCATACATAATGCATTGTATGCTACTCGATCTACTCGAAATTTGTTGAGTTTCAAAGACATACGTCTAAATGGATACCACATTGAAACAAAAAGTGCAGAAAATGTGGAGTATCTATGCATTACCTCCAATGATACCCAGAAGCGTATATTGGAGAAGTTGCGTGGTATGTCGAGTGGATTATATTATACATACATAAGGACAATTGAATCACATACTGTCATGAACCAGAAGTTCATTGATTCAAAGGTTTACATGCTTTGGCATGACCGTCTGGGTCATCCAGGATCTACCATGATGCGTAGGATCATTACCAACTCTAATGGACATCCATTAGTGAGCAGACACATTGCTGCCTCAAATGATAACCCTTGCAAAGCTTGTTCTCAAGGGAAGTTGGTAATTAGACCATCACAACTAAAGGATGATGCTGAATCCCCATCATTTCTGCAAAGAATTCAAGGGGATATTTGTGGGCCTATTCAACCATCATGTGGACCATTTCGATATTTTATGGTTTTGGTTGATGCATCTACCCGATGGTCACATGTTTGTCTCTTGTCTACTCGGAATGTAGCCTTTGCGAGACTACTTGCTCAAATAATTAAGTTACGAGCACAGTTCCCAGATTATCCCATTAAGTCAATCCGACTTGATAATGCTGGTGAATTTACGTCTCAAACCTTTTATGATTATTGCATGACATTGGGCATTGATGTTGAACACCCTGTTCCTCATGTCCATACTCAAAATGGTTTAGCAGAAGCATTGATTAAGCGGCTTCAGTTAATAGCTCGCACTCTGCTCATGAAAACCAAATTGCCAGTCTCTGCATGGGGACATGCCATCCTACATGCTGCATCATTGGTTCGATTGAGACCTATAGCCAACCATCAATACTCTTCAGTACAACTCGTGTTTGGACATCAGCCAAACATTTCCCATTTACGAGTTTTTGGTTGTGCTGTTTATGTGCCTATTGCACCGCTGCAACGCACTAAAATGGGACCTCAGCGTAGACTGGGAATTTACGTGGGTTTTGATTCACCATCTATCATTAGATATTTGGAACCCTTGACAGGTGATATGTTTACAGCTCGTTTTGCTGATTGTCACTTTGATGAGACAATTTTCCCGTTGTTAGGGGGAGAAAAGACCGTTCCAGAAGAACGGAAAGAGCTGACATGGGTTGTTCCCACCTTGTCTCATTTTGATCCTCGCAACATTCAATGTGAAAATGAAGTGAGAAGGATCGTTCATCTTCAAAGCATTGCCAATCAAATGCCAGATGCATTTAATGATGCTATGAAAGTGACAAAATCAAATATACCAGCTGCAAATGCACCTGCAAGAATTGATGTCCCTGTTGGACAAAATAAAGTGACAGCAAATGATTCATCTGGTGCACGCCTGAAGCGTGGTAGACCTCCAGGTTCAAAAGATTCAGCTCCTCGAAAGAGAAAGTCGAGGGCACAACTGAATACGAATGAAATCATTCAGGAAGAGAAAATGAATGATACATCCACAATTCATAATTCTGGACTTCCAGAAAAAGAAAATGTCCTTGATGAGACATCTGTCCCTGAAAAGACAGAAGTACATGAAAGCAAAGAAATCTCCATAAATTATGCATGTACAAATGAATTGTGGGATCGGAATGAAATAATCATTGATGATATGTTTGCATTTGCAGTAGCCACTGAAATCATCTTAAGTGATGATATTGAGCCCCGCTCTGTTGATGAATGCAAACAGAGACAGGATTGGCCTAAGTGGAAAGATGCAATCCAGGCAGAATTAAATTCCTTGGAAAAGCGGAATGTTTTTGGACCAGTAGTCCAAACCCCGCCTAGTGTAAACCCCGTGGGTTACAAATGGGTATTCACAAGGAAACGCAATGAGAAAAACGAGATCGCAAGATACAAAGCACGACTCGTTGCACAAGGTTTTTCTCAAAGACCTGGAATTGATTATGAGGAGACATACTCTCCTGTAATGGACGCAATTACGTTCCGTTACTTAATAAGTTTAGTGGTTTCAGAAAGACTTAACATGCGACTTATGGATGTCATCACTGCGTATCTATATGGAGAATTAGATACTGACATCTATATGAAAGTCCCAGAAGGACTTAAGTTGCCTGAAACAAGTAATAAACCACGAGGTATGCTCTCGATCAAATTAAGGCGATCATTGTATGGTCTGAAGCAATCTGGACGAATGTGGTATAATCGTCTCAGTGAGTATTTGATCAAAGAAGGGTATATCAACAATGTTATTTGCCCTTGTGTGTTCATTAAGAAATCCAATTCTGGATTCGCTATAGTGGCAGTATATGTTGATGATATGAATCTAGTTGGGACTCCTGAAGAGCTCAATAAAACTGCTGAATATCTGAAAAGCGAATTTGAAATGAAAGACCTTGGAAAAACAAAATATTGTCTCGGCCTGCAGATCGAGCATTGTGCTAGTGGAATTTTGGTTCACCAATCAGCTTACATTGAAAAAATCTTGAAGCGATTTGGTATGGACAAGGCTTATCCACTAAGCACGCCAATGGTTGTTCGTTCTTTGGACATTAAGAAAGATCCATTTCGTCCAAAAGAAGATGATGAGCTGGTCCTTGGTCCAGAAGTACCATATTTGAGTGCAGTAGGTGCTTTGTTGTATTTAGCACAATGTACTAGACCAGATATAGCTTTTTCAGTTAATTTGTTAGCAAGGTATAGCTCTGCTCCAACAATTCGTCATTGGAAGGGTATCAAAGATGTATTGCGATACCTTCGTGGGACAACAGACATGGGTCTCTTCTACTCAAAGAACTCCACAGATGACCAGGTCCTTGTTGGATATGCAGATGCTGGCTTTCTCTCTGATCCGCATAAAGCCCGCTCACAAACTGGATATGTGTTTAAGAATGGAGATACAGCAATCTCATGGCGCTCAACCAAGCAAACATTAGTTGCTACATCTTCAAATCATTCAGAAATACTTGCTTTACATGAAGCAAGTCGTGAATGTTCTTGGTTAAGATCAATGATCCATCATATCCGGAATTCATGTGGTCTAACTTCGAAGACAGACAATCCAATTGTCATCCATGAAGATAATGCAGCCTGTGTTACCCAAATGAAGGAAGGATTCATCAAGGGCGATAAGACTAAACACATATCTCCAAAGTTTTTCAGTGCTCATGAGCTTCAGAAGGCTAAAGTTATTGAAGTCAGACAAATCCGTTCAAATGAAAATCTGGCAGACTTGTTCACCAAATCTCTACCAAAGTGCACATTTCAGAAGTTAGTGCAAGGCATCGGATTACGTCGACTTACCAAACAGCTAAATTTGGAAAATGCGGAATCAGGGGGAGAAACATATCAGGGGGAGTATCCATGATACATGCTTGTTGTACTCTTTTTCCTTCGATTAGGATTTTTCCCACTGGGTTTTTCCTATCAAGGTTTTAACGAGGCAACATAAGCATACTTGACACTATATCAACAATCCAGGAAAAGTTGTACTCTTTTTCCTTCGCTATGGTTTTTTTTTCCCACTGGGTTTTTCCAAGCAAGGTTTTAACGAGGCAACTCATGTTGATATGTGGGCATCCAAGGGGGAGTGTTGAAAAGTCTCAAACTTCTGTTGGCAATGAATGCCCACAAAGCTAGTCATCTGCATGGGCAAAGTTTTCAATGCCCATGCTGAATGAAAGTGTCAGAGGTACATTTTAATTTTCAAGATGCATTAACTGCATCAGTTCGAATTGCTCTATAAATAGAGCACTCCGCATGTAACAGAAATGAGATGAAGAAGAAATACAAGAGAGAAATATCAATAACATCATATATTCCTCTGCCTTTTATTATCTGTCTGTGCTATAGTTTTTGTGTGGCATTTTACATCTACCTTGCACCTACCACTTAAAAGGTTATCTCTCAAACTTTAACCCTTTTATAACAGAAAAGAGATAGAGTTACAATTTTACGTACATTGTAGAATATTAATATTTTTCTAAAGTGAATTTAATTTCTAAAGAATCCCATGAACCCTCTAAAGCAAATTTACAAAATCACATGTCACGAACTAAAAGAAGAAAACTCAGAGTGTACAAATTAAAATCAAACCCATCTCTTTTAATTTCGACATGAAAATTTCCAATTAATTAATTTAACTTTGAATTATATCTAGGGGTTGAAGAAGTTGTCACCACAGTGGCATTTCCAACCCAGAGGCTTGTAATTGGAGTACTTGTTGGTACCTGGATGAGATGGGTCAAAGAACATCATGGACATGGTTCGGGTCATGCCCGGTTCGATCTGCCGGTCGTGGCTGGGCATGGTGGGCACTTGAACCGCCATGCATGGGTGGCACTCGTTGCACTTGTTGTGGCAGCTTGGTGGTTTGGATCCTAGCCTGGTTTTCTCCTCAAATAACATTCCCTGCACAATAATTTGCACAACATTAATTAAATAGTTATTAATTAAGTATGACTTTATTTTGTTTCAATTCAAAATAATATCAAAATAAAAGGTTGTTTGATAATTATTTCGTTTTCAATTTTTTCTTTCGTAACTGAAATGAAAACTAAAAATTTTGTCGGTTTTCAAACAAATGAAAAGTGAAACAATATTCAAACGGGCCAAAGTTAACTGGAGGGTAAATATTTATGCTTACCCGAAGAGAAGGCAGATGAGTAGTAAAACAAGAGGCGGCTGGAATTGAAGAGATAAGAAAATGCAGAAGCATGATGGCTCTGGGGACTTTGAAAAGAAGATAAAGGGAGTAATTATTCATGGTAGTTAAAATATTTTATGCATATCATGTCACCATGAAGTCGTCACCCAGATTAGAACCCTAGCTTCCAGGAATACAATATAATGTTGAATTCCCACTAGCTAATTTCTGAGAAATTAACTTCCAACACAACAAGCAAATGAGAGAGAGAGAGAGAGGGAGAGAGGGAGGTTTTGGGTTAAATTTGTGATGGGGGTGGATAAAAGGAATGAGCAGGAGGTGAATAAATGGGGGGTGGTGGCGGTGGTGGTGGAGGTCAGTTATGGGGGGTTCTGACCACAACGTGAGAGAGAGAGAGAGAGAGAGAGAGAGAGAGAGAGAGAGAGAGAGAGAGAGAAAGGCGCAGAGGGGAGGCAGAGTAGTGAAAGGAACAATACGAAAAGGAAAACAAATTTGGGAGAATCAACATTAGAATCAAGGACCCTTTATTTACTGTGGTATCAGGTCTAACTGGTTTTATTCGCAGCTGGGAAGTGAGTAGGAGTGACTTGCAGTAAATACAAACTAGGGTTGTGGGTTAAAAACAAAAAGAAAGGAGGCAGTAGTTATACCAGTTACATTGAACATTTAATGAGGTTTGACTGCTGTTAAAACTCAGCTGGGTGAGGTTCATAAGAGGAACTCCACCGTTACTTGTTGTCTTGAAGATAGACAACTCACTTCACTCTCTTCCCTCCTTAAAACACTCTAGTCACTCAGGCAATTGATCCAAGGCGAGTCCTATAGAGAAGTCAAACAATAATCATCTAATCCAGTGCCCTGCTTATGTGACGTAAAGTTGACATCATCATGACATCATCCACAATTTAAAATATTAAAAATTATAGAAATTATAAATAAAATGAAATAAAAAAATAATAAATAATAAAAAAATAACAAATTTGATTAAAAATAGGGTTCTTTAGATATAGACCCTTAGAACATTTATTTTATGGACAAAAACTCACCTAGTTATAAACTTCCAAATAAAACCCAAATTTGAAAATGATTGCTAAGTAGAAAAGTAATTGACCTATTATTACAAGATAATTACAATTTGTACCACAATATTCAAAATAAATCAATAAATTTAATTACTCACCTTAATTACAATGAATAAATAGTTATTACACATATTATTACCCTTAATATATATATATATATGTGGATACAAATTTCCACCTTCTTCTTGGACAAAATTGCACCTACGAAACAATTAACACCTTAGGTCAAGTGACACATCTCGACCGAGCTCAGGACATGCTGGCCGTCACGTGGAAGTGACGTAACCATGTGCACAGTGCGGAAGCTAATAAATAATAATAAAAGTACGAATAAATAAATACCAGCTATACACAAAGTAAGAACATACATGTGCAAGCGAAAGTGTGAAAACAAAGTTCAGAGCACGAAGACCTAATGCAATCCAGGAGAAACAACACTACATAAACACACCCAAAGGTGGTCCTACACTGGTGATATTCTGTCAGATATGCCAGGAAAATCCTCTGGGGAGCCACCGCAAGTGCTAACCAACTAAAACCTGGAGGGGCGCAAAACAAAAAGTGTGAGTGGGCAAAAACAAAGCTTTTCAAAAACCATTTCAAAAACAAAGTTCTAACCCCTCGCCGTAAAACCTGTATACTTCCCAGAAAATAGAATATACACATATATATAAATCATGCTCGGAAATATGCCATGCCAAATGCCTCGATATAAAATGCAAGTACTCAGGTAATGCCAAACAATGCCATGTAATCTGTCAGCCGAAGTCACCTAACGTGACCTGTACGGCTGAATCTAGAGCTCAAATCTCCAACTCACTAACTATACCTGCACACGAGTCGGAACCACCTAAAGTGGTCTGTACGACAGGACTGGGTGTATAATAAGTACTCTCAAGTGCTATGATCATGTGAAGGCTGGGCGAATAATCGCGGGTCACCTACGAGTCGGAACCACCTAAAGTGGTCTGTACGACAGGACTGTGCACCTAACTTGGATCCAAGATGAGTGTGTGGTGCGGGAGGTGAACATCACGTGAAGGACTGTGCCCAACTCTTGGCGGGAGCACTAACACCTGGGGTGCAAGTTATAAGCTCTCTAAGCATCTCAAATCACTACTGAACATAAACATAAACCATAACTCACCTGGTACTTACATGTGCGTTTGTAGCACCAACATATATATCTATACCTATGCAACTAATAATGCATAATTAAATGGCAAACACAATGCATGGCATAAAAGCGTATAAATGTTTCATGTCACTTTCTAGGAAAAACATAAGTATATAGGTATATACGGAAAACCAAAAGCCCACTCACTGATATGTAAAAGGGTGGCAACCCCCTTGCCTCGAGTGACCGCGCTTGTCCTTGGGATAGGTCTTACCTTTATGCGAAACAACTATAAATACGTTAATTTTAAAACACATAACCAACCATACGAAATAACTTCTCATACAAAGCTCAAATGGGGTGTATGAATACACCAACATGATCTACTCAACCTCAGGAACATCCCCATATTTTTAGAAAAATTTTCCGACGCCGCACGCGCCCCCACGCGCAGGCACGTGCCTAGCACACTAATGGCGTCAGTTAACGCCGTCAGGAATATTCCGTTAAATCTGATGGAATCCGTTAACGCCGTTAGAAATATTCCGTCCAAACTGACGGAATATTCCATTGTCTTCTTCGGCCAAACTCCGGTGCCGGAAAACCGAGAAATTTTTAAAACCTTGTATCTTCTTCGTTTTTCAACCAAATTTCACAAAATTGGTACCAAAATGAAGCTTACAACAAGAGGAACAAATCCATACCACTTTCAAGTACTAAAACCCACGGAATTTTGCCGGGAAAACACCACCAACTCCGGCCAACCTTGTAACTCACGATCCCGACATCCAAAACCTTCAAACGAACCACCCCGAGCTTCCTAAGGACCTCACCAAGCTTCCTACAAGCTTGAAATTCCCAAAAACACAAGAATTAACGTGTGCATGAACAGTGACCAAAATCGGGGATCCCGAGTTCGACGTGAAAACAAAGGTATCCTTACCTGAAATGGGTATGGTTGAACTCTTAAGGACCTCACGAGCACGAATATGTAGTTTGTTTCCTCGATCTGCGAAGGTTTCAATGGTTTTGGTTGTCGTCCGTACAAAAGGATAGGAAAGGGAGAGTAAGAGAGAGGGTGAATGTGGGGGTGTGTGTGTGGTCCAAACTCCACCAACCAAGCCCAAAAATGACCACACAACGAAACAAACATACCAGGGGCAAAAACATCATTTCACCCCTATGGTACGAAAAGTCCGAGATGGGCTGTCACAACCTACCCACCTTAATAAAATTTCATCCCGAAATTCAAAACAACCACTCACAGCAACCACTAACGATCAAAGAACAACTGAGGATACAAATCTCTCATCTGATCTTCAGTTTCCCAAGTAGCCTCCTCCACGAAATGATTCCTCCACAAAACTTTCACCACATTCACTGTCTTGTTCCTTAGAACCTTTTCTTTCCAATCTAGAATCGTCACTGGTTCCTCATCATAAGTCAGATCCAGATTAATTTCCAAGGGTTGAGGAGGGATCACATGAGACGGATCTGCAACATAATGTCGAATCATGGACATGTGAAAAACATTATGTACTTTAGCCAGCTCAGTAGGCAACTTCAGCCTGTAAGCTACCTCACCAACTCGCTCGGTGATCATGTACGGTCCAATATACCTGGGGCTCAGCTTACCTTTCTTTCCAAACCGTACAACACCTCTCCATGATGAAAGCTTCAGAAATACCCAATCGCCAACCTCATACACTCTGTTAGTAGCATGCCGATCTGCTAAACTTTTTTGCCGATCATGGGCCGCCTTCAAGTTAGACTTGATTACCTGAACATTTTGAGTAGTCTCCTCAACAATATCTGGGTCCACCAAAACTCTTTCTCCGACCTCTGACCAACACAAGGGTGTGCGACAAGATCTACCATATAACGCCTCAAATGGTGCTATGCCGATACTCGAATGAAAGCTGTTGTTGTAGGCAATTTCCATTAAATCCAACCGCTTTTGCCAAGCATCACCAAACTGTAACACCGAAGATCACAACATATCCTCCAACGTCTGAATGGTTCTCTCTGACTGTTTGTCCGTCTGAGGATGATATGCCGTACTATAAAGTAGTCTCGTACCCAACGCTTCTTGAAACGCTAACCAAAATTTAGATGTAAATCTTGGATCACGATCCGAGACAATACTCACAGGGACACCATGGTACTTCACGATCTTCGAGATGAACAACTCAGCTAATCGACCCAAAGAATACTTCTCCCTCACTGGAATGAAATGTGCTGACTTAGTAAGCCGATCAACAATCACCCAAATGCCTTCAAAACCATTATGTGTACGCGGAAGCTTGTACACAAAATCCATAGTAATGTTTTCCCATTTCCACTCTGGAACGGGAAGCGGCTGCAACAACCCAAACGACTTTTTCCTTTCCGCTTTAACTTGCTGGCAAATAGCACACCTACTCACATACTCAGCTATCTCCCTCTTCATACCCGACCAATAATAAAATGGTCGAATGGTATGATACATTTTAGTACCTCCTGGATGCATAGCATAAGCCGAGATATGTGCTTTATCGAGAATTGCTTTCTTTAAATCCAAATTATTAGGCACAAACATCCTATCCTCCTGCATCAACATGCCATCCGAATCACGAACTCTGAGGTCTCTCCTCCTCCCATGATCTCGAGCTTGGATTAATTCTTGAGTTTCCTCATCAGCTACCTGAGCTTCAAGCACCCGATCAACTAAAATTGGCCTAACTTGAAAATTAGCAAGTAAAGCCACCTCTCGATCTTCTGCCTCCAAACTCACTCCCGTAGATCTTAAATCTGCCAGAAAAGGAATGCGACTAGCATACAACGCATTGATACGGCCCTGAGACTTCCTGCTAAGTGCATCAGCCACTACATTTGCATAACCAGGGTGATAATCAATCGTGCAGTCATAATCACTAAGCAGCTCCATCCACCTCCGCTGACGAAAATTAGGATCCCTCTGCGTAAAAAGATACTGAAGACTCTTATGATCTGTAAAGATCTTACATTTCTCTCCATAAAGGTAATGTCTCCACAACTTCAACGCAAAAATAATGGCTGCTAACTCCAAATTATGTGTAGGGTAATTCAACTCATGAGGTTTCAATTGTCGTGAAGCGTAAGCAATTACCCTGCCATGCTGCATCAACACACATCCCAGACTATTCAAAAAAGCATCACTATAGACCTCGAAATCACCACTATCGTTCGAGAGCGCCAAAACAGGTGCATGAGTGAGACGATACTTCAACTGCTGGAAACTCTGCTTACACTTATCATCCCACTCAAATTTAACGTTTTTCCTCATTAACCTCGTCAGTGGTAAAGCAATCACAGAAAAATCTTTAACAAACCGTCGATAATACCCTGCTAAACCAAGGAAACTCCTCACCTCAGTGACGGTTTGCAGTTGCTCCCATTTCTCCACAGCTACCACCTTTTGAGGATCCACCAAAATACCCTGAACTGAAATGACGTGCCCCAAAAATGCAACTTGGTCTAACCAAAACTGGCACTTGCTAAACTTAGCATACAATTGGTGTTCCCTCAACCTTTTCAACACCAAAGTAAGATGTCGAACATGCTCCGCT